GTGTGTGTGTGTGTGTGTGTGTGTGTGTGTGTGTGTGGGTGGGTGGCAGGAGGGCATGAGGGGAAATTTGAAAGAGCTGAAATAGACAAATGGACAACAGGACAGAAGAGTCATAATGCTGGATTGACATATACAGTATAAGGAGCTAAAAAATTAAATTTTATTATTTTATTTCAGTCTGAGATAGTTTTGGCTACAAAAATATTAATAAATACCCACATAGCAGACAGATGTGAGCCAGATCTTGTTAACATTTTTAAGAGGTTATGCCACAAGTGGCCCAGTTGTGGTTTGCTTTATGTGGTAATAGCCAATGCATTACCACACAAACCAAAGTGGCGGCAACCATCGAACCCGCTGGTGGACACTGGCGGTGAGGGATGCTGTCAGGCTGAAGAAGGAGTCCTATCAGGTATTTTTGGCCTGTGGGACTCCGGAAGCAGCTGATAGGTATCAGGAGTCCAAGCGGATTGCGGCTCGGGTGATCGCTGAGGCAAAAACTCGGGCGTGGGAGGAGTTCAGAGAGGCCATGGAAAAAGACTTACGTACGGCTTCGAGGCAATTTAAATCCACCATCCAGCGTCTCAGGAGGGGAAAGCGGTGCGCCACCAACACTATTTATGGTGGGGATGGTGCGCTGCTGACCTCAACTCAGGACGTTGTGGGCCAGTGGACGGAATACTTTGAAGACCTCCTCAATCCTACCGACACGTCTTCCCATGAGAAGGCAGAGCCTGAGGACCCTGGGTCAGACTCTCCAATCTCTGGTGCCGAGGTCACTGAAGGGGTTAAAAATCTCCTCGGTGGCAGGGTGCTGGGGGTGGATGAGATTCGCCCAGAGTTCCTTAAGGCTCTGGATGTTGTGGGGTTGCATTGGTTGACACGACTCTACAATATCGCGTGGACATCGGGGGCAGTTCCCCTGGATTGGCAGACTGGGGTGGTGGTCCCCCTGTTTAAAAAAGGGGGACCGCAGAGTGTGTTCCAACTATAGGAGGATCACACTTCTGAGCCTCCCTGGTAAGGACTATTCAGGGGTCCTGGAGAGGAGGGTCCATCGGATAGTGGATTCTCAGTTTCAGGAAGAGCATGTGGTTTTCGTCCCGGTCGTGGAACAGAGGACCAGCTCTACACCCTCAGCAGGGTCCTGGAGGGTGCATGGGATTTCGCCCAACCAGTCTACATAAGTTTTGTGGACTTGGAGAAGACGTTCGACCGTGTCTCTCGGGGACTCCTGTGGGGGGTACTCTGGGAGTATGGAGTACCAGGCTCGTTGATACGGGCTGTTAGGTCCTTGTATGACTGGTGCCAGAGCTTGATCCGCATTTACGGTAGTAAGTCGGACTCGTTTCCGGTGAGAGTTCGACTCAGCCAAGGTTGCCCTTTGTCACCAATTCTGTTAATACTTTTATGGACAGAATTTCTAGGCGCAGCCAAAGTGTTGAGGGGATCCATTTTGGTGACCTTAGGATCATGTCTCTGCTTTTTGTGGATGATGTGGTCCTACTGGCTTCATCAGATTGTGCTCTCCAGCTCTCACTTAAGCGGTTCGCAGGTGAGTGTGAAGGGGTCGGGATGAGGATCAGTACCTCCAAATATGAGACTGTTGGTGTACGTTCCTACCTTCAGCAATGGTCACAAGCTTTGGGCAGTGACCGAAAAAATGAGATCGCGGATACAAGTGGCTGAAATGAGTTTCCTTCGCAGGGTGTCTGGGCTCTCCCTTAGAGATAGGGTGAGAAGCTTGGTCATCCGGGAGGGACTCAGAGTAGAGCCGCTGCTCCTCCACGTCGACAGGAGCCCGTTGAGGTGGCTCGGGCATCTGGTTAGAATGCCTCCTGGACGCCTCCCTGGTGAGGTGTTCCGGGCACGTCCCACTGGGAGGAGACCCAGAGCAAGACTCAGGACACGCTGGAGGGACTATGTTTCTCGGCTGGCCTGGGAACGCCTTGGGATTGCCCCGTATGAGCTGGCCCAAGTTGCTGGGGAGTGGGAAGTCTGGGTCTCTCTGCTTAGGCTGCTGCCCCCGCGACCCAACCYGGGTTCAGCGGAAGAAAACAGACGGACGGACAGGCCAACGCATGGACCACCTCTGGCAAACATCTGGACCACCAAAGGGCCATCATTCTTTGAAGTATCCAGTGACTACACTGGATTCGTGATGCGGGGCGGCTGTGGCGGAGTGGTTAGGGGAGTCGTCCTGGAACTGGAAGGTTGCTGGTTCGATCCCCCGTCTAGCCGTTTCAGTTGTTGTGTCTTTGGGCAAGACACTTCACCCGCCCTGCCTACTGATGGTGGTCAGAGGGTCCGGTGGCACCACTGCATGGCAGCCCCACCTCTGTCAGTGTGCCCCAGGGCAGCTGTGGCTACAATGTAGTTTGCCATTATCTGTGTGAATGTCTGTAAGTGTAAAGCGCTTTGGGGTCTGGAGGGACTTTATAAAGCGCTCTATAAGTTCAGTCCATTTACCATTTACCTGGGCCAAATAAATTTTGATATGTGGTTGTTTTCTCCCAAGGAACGGTTATTGTAATAAAGTTAAAGGTCTTTCAGGGGGTTAATGTTCTGTTTTAATCTTTTCTAATGTTTTACTGATGCACTGCCCAAGATGCCCATTCCCTGTTCAGTCCATATCGACTAATAAGCTAAAACACAGAATGTTCTGAGGCTTGTGATGAACTGTTAACACCATCTCAGTGTTTAACCATTTTATTGCAGTGTTTTTTTATTGTTTCCTGAACACACAGCACCTGAGCATTGCCCAATAATACTCCCAGCATTCCACTGTAACAGAGTTAACATGATTATTTCCACACAACCCGTGATGAAATCTCCCTTAACCCATAAGTCAAGTTGTCTACCTCCTGTCTTTTAATACCAATCCCAATAACTGAATAAATTTATGATGCTTTGACAACTATCTGGGTTTTAGCATTAAATCAGTGTTGAATTTTTATCTTTATATACAATAGTGTTTCATAGAAATGTGTTGAGATCTCTCAAATCCTTCTTAAACATTGTGCTCTTTGCTCTTTGAAATCTTCACTTGTTTCATTTTTAGCTTTTAGCAGCTGTTTGCAAAATTGAACTTTTACATACAGGTCTGCTGATTTTAGCTTTAAAATACTGTTCTAATAATTTTAGCTTTTGACTACTGATCTGTTAACTTTACTTTTAGGTACTGTCATGAATCGTTATCTGTTTTGTGAAGAAGGCAGCTTGGAAGATTCTGGTGTCTGTTAGAACTCAGCTTTATTCCTCGTGTGTGTCTGGACGTACAGCGCATGCTCATAAATACAGCGCACTACGGAAGCCCATTTGTGACATCTCACCACATCTCCCCCCTCTAGAAGAGAAACACACATGCTTAAAATAAAATGGTGGCTTTACACAAATGCTTAACCTGTGAGAAAACAGTATTTTTGAACACTAGGACTTTGGGGTAGACTTCCCTCAGTCCACAGCAACGTAGGGATTATTCTGCCCTCAACAGTTGCTGTTCCTACCAATACTATAAACAGTTTTAAGAGTCCTTCGTTTCCTTTTAGAATGTAGGCCAAAACACAACATACATGTGAACTGTATAGAAATCAAATATAATCTCAATTTCCCCTCCCCCCTTGAAAAAAATGTAACATAAATATGTCCTTTTAACCTTAAACTTAGCAGTAGAGTAAACTCAATACTTTTCTGAACACATGCAATAGAGGACTACAAATAATAATTAAGTGTCTCTATATCTGAGAGGAACTCTCACAACTCTACCCTTGGATGTAATCTGTGAACCTTTCCCAGGAGTGGAACCTTCTCTCGCTGGACTCGATTGTCTCTGAACAGGGCTTCCTGCCATGGGGCCAGAACAAGCTCCAGGTGAAAAGTCACTGGCAGGTTTTGCAGGGGAACAAGGTGACTGCATGTGATCCGGCTGTTCAGCTGGCTGTGGRACAGCTTGCAGGTGTCTTCTATTCCGTCTCAGCACAGCTCCATTCTCTGTCTCGACCAAATAAGATCGTGGCTCTTTGCACTTKGCGATGACTCTTGCTGGGGTTTTCCAACCTTTGTCCCCATCCAACTTTATCCTGACGTCCTGTCCTGGATGTAGTATCGGCAGTGATTGTGCAGAGTGATGACGGTCATGAAAAAATCGATAAGCTGACTTTGTCTGGTCGTCCTTCAGTTGAATCTGTTGTCTGTCCACTGGATTGGCTTGCAACTTCCTCTCAAGCATGGGAAGTGTAGTTCGAATCTCTCTTCCAGTCATAAGTAAAGCAGGACTCATGCCTGTGGCAGCACCAGGAGTCGCCCTGTAACACATCAGAGCAAGGTGTGGATCTGGCTGCTTCAGAATGTTTTTGGCAGTCTGAACCGCCCGTTCTGCGGCCCCGTTCGCCTGAGGGTAGTGGGGGCTAGAAGTTGTGTGCACAAATCCATACTCCTGACAGAAGTCCTGGAACGCAGAAGATGTAAACTGAGTAGCGTTATCACTGACCAGTTCCAGTGGAATTCCCCACCTCACAAACATGCCTTTGAGTCGGCTGATGACATCATAGCTGGACATAGAAGGTAAACGGGCTATTTCAATGTCTCGGGAATAATAGTCAGTCACAATGAGATAATTCCATCTCTCATGCTCACACACATCTGCTGCTATGTGCTGCCAGGGGCCCCCTGGTAAGGGTGTGGTCAGGAGAGGTTCATGCCTCTGAGTAGGTTTGTTTTCAATGCAAAATTTGCATGATGACACTGTCTGTTTAATCTCGGCACTGATGCCCGGCCACCAGACTGCCATCTTTGCGCGTGCTCGGCATCGCGTGAGTCCTTGGTGTCCTTTATGCAGATCTGACAACATCTCCGCTCGTTGTGCAGCAGGAATGACCAGCCAATCCTGATATAACACCAATCCGTCAGTTTCCGAGAGATGTGCTTTCGCTGAATGATAACGCTGCAGAGATGGAGTCAGCGCTGATCTGGGTGGCCATTGGTTCCTGATGAAACTTGTAATCCGTTGCAGTTCGTCGTCATGCTGTGTAGCCTCACGGATCTTGTTGAGTCTTTGAGATGAGACTGGTGCATTAGCAATTATAGACGCCACATGTGTTTGTACTTCGTGCTCTGTGGTCTCATCACTCACATGTCTTTGCGGCCTCCTGGATAGTGTGTCAGCCACAACCAGCTGCTTCCCAGGGACGTGTTCTGCTACCACGTTGAACTTTAAAAGGCGCATCAGGAGTCTCTGACATCTCGGAGGGGCCTTATCCAGGTCGTATGTGTTTATCAGCGGCACAAGTGGTTTGTGATCTGTTTGTAGACGGAAACTGTCCATTCCCTGAACATAGCGTGCAAATCGTTCACATGCCCACACCCCTGCCAAACACTCTTTCTCGATTTGAGAGTATCTCCTCTCAGTATCAGACAGCGTGCGGGAGCAGAATGCCACTGGCTTTAAACCGTCTTCGTGTTCTTGCAGTAGTGCTGCTCCTAATCCGTAGCTGCTCGCGTCAGCACTGATGACGGTTTTCCTGTTTGCATCATAATATGCAAGAGCTGGGGCTGACACAAGCATGTTTTTAACAGCGATAAATGCTTGTTCTTGTGCCTCATCCCATACCCACTTGTTCTCTCTCCTCAACAG